TCATTTATAATGGTCTTAACGGTAGGATGGTAGAGTTTGGTGCTTGATGCAGCCTTTTGATTATATATTCCAAGCATAACATGATATCTAAAATACTTTTTTTAAATTCATGGTGCTCATCTCTGGAGACATATAATTGAAGTTGTGATAAATATTAGCATGTGAAATAGATGGCTTCGAGTTCTTCATTGGCTTGGAAATTGGGTCTTGTAAGGCTTTGTGAGTGCCTTATGCTCAGTGCTATTAGGAAAGGAAGGATGACCAGAAGAGCTTCTTTGTAAAACCCAAACTTCTGCTAACTGATAGCCAACAGAATCCTCTTAAAAAACAACTAAGAGCTTAAAAATTGTAACATGACTTAACATGATAGTTATAACTGTAAGTTAGCTATGCTTAGCTTTCTTCAAGCTTTTCTTCAGTTCCAAGTGTAAAGTACAAAATTTTTAATAAAGAGACAGAATACTGTTTCTAAATTCTAAACCTTTTAATTGAGGGAACATGCTTTAGAGACAAGCAGAAATTGATAGACTCGAAGAAAATGTACATTTGTAGCAGTTTTCCATATCTAATGAAATCTTGGAAAAGAAGATGGCCATTTGTATTACAGAATATGGCTTTGTGCAATTTTTCTATGAACCATTCTGTATTGATCTAGCTGTTGAATTTTTGAGCCTTTCCAGTATATAGCAGTTCTGAGTAAGTTTCATATATCACATTTCAAGTCTAATTATGGGGAAACAGTTGTCTAATGGATTCAGCCACATCCAATGTAAGAGAGACAGATGACATTCAGTAATTTTGACATTATAAAAATAAGGTACAAAATGATATTGCAGAGTACTTCAAATTGCATGAAAGACGGTCTGAAAGCTGTCCAAAAATTTGTTCCAGGAAGTCATTGAGCTTTTAAAAATAGCCTTAACTTTTCTAGGGTATACTTTGAAGCTGCAAACGTTGGTCAGCCTGAGATTGGCCGACATTTTTTGGCCACAAAACTGGTCAGAGGGATGGAACACCTCTCCTATGAGGAAAGGCTGAGAGGGTTGGGGTTGTTCAGCCTGGAGAGGAGAAGGCTCTGGGGAGACCTTATTGCGGCCTTTCAATGCTTAAAGGGGGCTTATAAGAAAGATGGGGACAAACTTTTTAGCAGGGCCTGTTGCGATAGGACAAGGTGTAATCATTTTAAACTAAAAGAGGGTAGATTCAGACTAGACATAAGGAAGAAATTTTTTACGCTGAGGGTGGTGAAGCACTGGCACAGGTTGCCCAGAGAGTTTTTTTTTCTGCCCATGGCAGGGGGGTTGGACTAGATGACTTTTAAAGGTCCCTTCCAACCCAAACTATTCTATGATTCCAATAAGGGAAAACAGAGATCTTGTTTGATTTTTCAGTCTAGCTAATGTTGATGTCTGGGGGAAAGATGGCAGGGCAGATCCTCATTTTTTAAGACCCATGGGCATTGTCTGTCTACTGTTCTTGTCCTCTTGGACAAGAACCTTGGCCTCTAATTTCTTTCAGTTCAGGCAATCCCCATCATAAACTTTAACCTTTGTGTATTTGCTCAGTCTTCAAATCCACTTTCGTGCTGTTCCATAAGCCTAGAACTTTCTCTTGCCCACAGCATCCGTGCTTCCTTCCCCATTTCTTTTAAAACCCTTCTTGTGGCCACTTCTTCAAAGAGCTGCATGTAATAGCATTACATTATTTTTTAACCTTCCTGTGCTGTCAGGAAAACATTTCCCTTTGTTTCTTTTTTTCCCCCGTCCATCTGCTCAGATTTCTTTCTATTTTCATTATCTTTGAAGAAGGAAACGTTGTGCTAATTATGTTCATAAGTCACCTTAACCAGTAAAATGTCACGCTTTCCCTAAGTGTCAAATACTGCAAAACTGGGTCTATCTGTAGTACCAGCAAGTGTGGCCAATCTCTTGAGCCTGTGATGTTTAATGACAGTCTATGCCATGACAAAGCTGTGTGAGGTCTGATCACCATGAGAACATGTGTGAACACACACACACATGTAAATCTATTAAATTTAAAACTGCGCTGTCTCTCTGAAGTTATGCTTTCTTTTAATTATGTTTTTTTCTTTATTAGAATTGCCAGGTATGAAAAAAAGATGAATTTAGAAAGATAAATAGAAGCAGATAGTGAACAAAGCTATTTAGCACAAAATGGAGACACGCAGGCCATGTGGTTGCTGTTCAGCAGTGTAAAGTGTAGGTGCCCTACTGTCCCACTGTAACACACATTTATAGTGCCATATGGTCAGTCTGCCCTGTTGAAAACACTGGGCTTAAAATCCTGTGATCGGATGCACATTGGCAAACCACTGGTCTGACGCGAAGCTCTTACTGGAGTTAGGGGGACACCCTTAGAGGTGCAAATCTTCACCAGCACAGACCTTAATTGCAGAGTGGGAGGTAAGACACTGCTTGGCATAAGACATGATGGCAGAAAGACTTTGAGCTTTTAGGGGAGAAAAAAGACTACAGTCCACAAGACTGAGTCAGAATATCACAGGGTAGCATAAACCTGGTTTTGATAAGACTAATCCTTTGCTGGAACATCAAAGTCAATGAGTCCCCAAATGATGCAGTTCAGAGAGCCAAAGGAACCAGAAAATGGCTTTGTTACAGATAATTTCGGTTTCAGATAAATGTAACATTTTGTTAGCTTACTAACATCAGAAAATAAGCAGGCCGTTGGATGCATGGAAATACATGCACACCATAACTAAATGACTTAATTTGAACTTCCATATCTCAGTTTGAAGAAGCAGCAAACATTTATTTGTAGTCTTCTGTTTTGATATGTTAATCTGTTGTTCAGCAGCATTTGTGTGCACAGCTGCACAATAGCTTAGCGGGGATTCAGTGTAAATTTAGAAATATTTCCTGCAGACACAATTTGAAATAATACAAGTAGGTAAGCTGTACTTGTGTATAGATACATAGCTATAGCTATAGATATATAGTAGGCCTACAGATCTAGATGCATAGATCTGTAGATCTATATAGCAGTTATGCTTGTACATGCATATATACATACATGGGTCGGGGGGAGAGAGAGAGAACGGGCACAAACTGAAACACAGGAGGATCCCTCTGAACATCAGGAAACACTTTTTTACTGTGTGGGTGATGGAGCGCTGGCACAGGTCGCCCAGGGAGGTTGTGGGGTCTCCATCCTTGGAGATACGCAGAACTCACCCAGACACAGTCCTGGGCAACCAGCTGTAGGCGGCCCTGCTTGAGCAGGGAGGTTGGACCAGATGACTTCCGGAGGTCCCTTCCCACCTCAACCATTCCAGTAGGTTATTTGCAGCATCTGCCATAGTAAGATGACCCCTATTACCATTGTGCAAATGCTTCACAAGTTTTAATCCGGTTGCCCTTTCAGCATCCTGTGAGTTAGAATAAAAGGTTGGGCTAATTCTTTTTTGTAAAATGCATCAGCATCTTATCAGTGGGGAGTGAAGCTTGAAAGAGAATTTTCAAGTGGGCCTGTTTAAGAGATGGTATTTGGGTCTTTGATTTCCTTGGCTTCTTTCAAAATCCCAACTTTAGTTGCATAGACTGTGGAGCCTAAGGTTATAAATCATACGCAGCAGAGAAAGGGAAGTGAATTTTGATCTCCAGGTCCCAAGTGAATACTCTGAGCTTCTAGAACTTTTCTGTTGCAAAGTAATGCACAAACTTGTAAAATGTCAAGTGTGATTTCAAAGTAGCTCACTTAAATAGTTACTATAGAAAACAAAAAATGGTAAGAGTAAGGACTCTGGAATGACGTGTTACAGGAGCGTGAACTGGCAGACTTACGCTAGCCAGCTTTATATGCCTATATTCCTCTTCCTTGGGCCTTCCCTATTTTTTTTCAGCCAGCTGTGCTGTTCGCTTCCCAGTGTAATGCATTTTCTTCCAGGTGGGAGAATAAAGCACTGGATCTTTCTGTTACAGCTGAACTATCAAGCCAAAAAATAATACACTTAAATGCAAATACATCGTTATGGTAAGGGTTGATTAAATTCATGTGATAGGATAGATTTTATTTTTTTTCCCCTCTTTTGATTTTAGTTCAAGGATAGCATGAGTCAGCTAGACCTACAGCTAGTGAAAAATTGGAAGTTGTATTTGCAAAGGAAAAAAAAAGATATTCCAGTTTTTCTGTTTTTCAGCAATAGAGATATTCTACTTACTGGTATTGTTTTTGCCACAGGTTTTATCAGTTTTATCTTAATCTTTTTTCCAAAATTACAACAGAAATTTTTCATTTGAAGTATTTCGGGTAAAAGAAATACGGAACATAATTCAAAAGTTGTAGTGAAATTTATTTCCAAGAAATGAAACATTACATTGGGCAGATGAGTTGGGAAATAGTAAACTAGGTCAGTGTAGTAGAGTTGCTTTGGCCTGGGCTGTAGATAAAAGTGTACATTAAAAATAGGAAATCAGCTTGCAAGGCAACAGTGAAGCTTAAAAAACCAAAACTCATCAGCACACCTGATACGTTCTCTAATTCTGCCATGTAAATCCAGTGCTAGAATTTACAGCTTTCAATTTCAGATTTCCTTTGGTCTGGGTGGGAGATTACCCAAATACAGACAATAAAACTCACCAGTGTTTTTGAAGAGAGACAGTTCTGTTACATGCTCAGAGTTCCTGAAGTTTCCAAAACTCTTCCGGTGAGAGTAACTCCTGAACAGTTCTAATGTCAAGTTCCTATTTTGATAGCAAAAGCAGGCAGCATGGACGGCTTTCTGTTTGCCATTATTTTAGTAAAGCCGAATTTGTGACCCATATTAACTGCAGATATAAGACTATTTCCACATGAAATAATACGTACCTTTGAAGTTAACTGGAAGTCTCTCTGCCTTTTGGGACTCATCATCCTGTTTTTTCCATGTGGAGTGGCTGTGGCTCATATTACAGTAGAAAGCACATTTTTAAGCATTCTATCATGTAATATCTTTGTACCTCTACATTTTTCTCCCCGCTCAGAGACTATGAAGAAGATATTTCAAGAAAAGGGCATCTTGGCAGGAGATGAAAGAGCTTTTAAACCACATCTGACCTTCATGAAGTTGTCAAAATCAGCACAGCTACGTAAGCAGGTGAGCTCACATTTCACATAGCTCAGCAGCAATCTAGAAAGTTTAATTTGGAGACGAACAAAGGAGTTGCTTATGCTACAGCATCACACTTTCTACTTTGTAACCAGCTGAAGAGGTAAGACTTGCAAATACTGATTTTTTTAGAAAAAATAATTAGTACGTCTACCATATAAACAGTAGTCCTGTACTGTACTTTAAGTTACCACTCTTGATAATCTCAGTACAGTAATACCATGGTCTATTTTCTTTTGGGAAACTATGCAAGACCAAAGGATGAAAGTACTTGTTCAAAATTATAGAATTATTATTAGGGTGTAGATTACATGCATGCAGTTTGTTTGGATAGTTTTGTTTTGTTACGGTACAGGAGAAAATAAGCAAATAAACAGTGGAATTTATATTTGGATTATGCATAATATGCAGACTGTCAGTTCCCTCTATTGAATATGCTTTGGTGAATTTCAGAGTAGCAAAGAAACACATCTTCTATATTCTCTTTTGCAGGCAGTTATTTCTTGCCTACTTATTCGTTTTGACAAAATACACAAATACATAAAAGTAGGTTATAACTGTGAAGATAAATATATAGAAGCAATACTAGTATCTCGAGTTTTTTATTTCATACTAATTTAACAGTACTATTGTATTATTTAACATAAGGTATATCTCCATAAAAATTTTTTGCTGACATTGTATGGAATGTTTTACGTGATCCTTTAACATTGACCAGGAAAATAATTTTCAGAAAAAATATATTTTTAAATAAGAATTAAAGTACATAATTTAAATATTTTAAATTTATTTTTTTCCTTAATAGTAAGCATCAAAGAAAAATACTTTAAAATTTCATTAGAAATAACTTTAAAAAATGCTGAAGGTACACATTATAATTAAAGCATTGTGAAATCAGTTGGAAGAAGGCAATGAGATTTGAGACACGTCAAGAAACTTCAAGGCCACACATACTTGCTCTGAAACAGAAGTAAGGACTTGTCCACAGGTTATAGGTGGTATATTATAGCTATTAAATTTGTAAGCTCACATAAGCTTTTGCTTGTATTAACAGTTGTTTTTTAAAACACTCATTTTAAAAATCCACAGCTGTTCTAGAACATCAGCTGTTCAGTAATTTAACTGTTTGGTTAAAACATGAGACAGTCAGGGTGGGTTTTTTGCCATTCTGTTTTTCGGTTGTTTTTTGGCTGGTGGTTTGTTTTGTTTACATTTTTCTACCTTGCATGAACTATTAGCCAGGATGCATACTTTCTGTGTTCTGATAGTCACTGCTGCTGACAGAACCAGGTCAATGTCATTCCAAATCATCTTCCTTAGTCCTCCATAATGCTGGATAATGCATATGGTATTCTAAAGATACACTGTATAGAAAGATACTGTGTATTAAAAATCTGTACATTATTTTATCAGGAATTTTTCTCTGTCAGTCCACTGTCAGGCATAAGCATCGGTCTTTACTATTATTTTTTGTTTCATTGTGTCCATGCATTTAGTGAGATAGTTTCATGCACTTACTGAAAACGATAAATAAAAACATGAAACATAACAGGAATAACTATTTTGTAGTATGTTTTAATACAATGTTTAATTGCATTTTCAGATCATACAACAGTATGAAAAAAAGGGGGGGAGTGGATGAAGATTACATGAGAAAGCATGTAAAAGAGCAAATAGAACTAAAGTAGTTAAGTATAGTTAACAGCTATAGCTTTAAAACTATATTAATATTTTTTTAAATGTAAGTTTCCTTATTTGAAGCAATACTCTCTTAAGCCGCTCTCCTCATCATGACATCTAAATTCCACCAAAGTTATCTTTTGGGAGAAAAAAAAAATGTGTTTTTCAAACCTTAATATAGCTACAGGCATTTTTGAAATGCATATATTCTGAAAAGATTTTAACTTTCCCAAATTGTTGCTGATATTTATAAAGCAAAGAGTTTGAGAATTCAAAATTAATAAAGATCTCAAGAAATCAGCTTTCCACTTTGAAGGCACAGCATTAAGCTAAAAATGGTAAATGCAAAAAACTTGGAAACAGACATTAATAAAGGATAAAAATGTGAGATAAAGTGGGTTAGAAAAGAGCTATCTGGGTTACTGTACCCCCTTCAGCTTCTCAGGTTAAAGAACTTACTTACCTACTCAGAAGTGGGAGCAACTCATTCTTCATGGTTGGTTGGACAATTCTGAGATCAAATGTGCCACTGAAAACTTCCCCAAAATAAGGAGGTACAGTGTGCCTCTAGGTGTCCTTGTGGAAGGAGATAAAGGGATATAATTTACTTGCACATGTTTAGCTGTTTCCACAATTGATTGTTCGAATGATAAGAATCTTGGGTTTGTATCATTATCTGCTATACAAAGAACCTAATGAAACACAATAAAAGAAGCAACTGGAGTTTTGCACTTGAAGATTACATTTTTATTCCTGCTTCCCTCACTAGCCTGCTACAGGTTGCCACAGGTCAGTCACAACCCCTCTGCTTTTCATTTGTCCAGATTGCTGTTTATTTCAGGGCGTGTTGTGAGGCACGCTTGATAAATGCTGTATGACGTTTGGAGATCCTTTGATAGCTAGTACTGCCAGAACTGCAAATACTGTGAAATGGATTTCATAAGTAGAAGATGACTGACAGCTAAATTGCTCTGATGGCATCTGCTTAATTAGTAAGGAGTGTATCCTTAGCCTAGGCAGTGGTTGACAAGAAAAAATGCCAAAAATATAATTTATGGATATTTAATATATGATATTCTTCTGTACAGTATATCTTTAGAATGCTGTATATATAATTAGTAAAAGAGAATATATTAGTGAGAAAAATCCGTTTGTATTTACAACGCTTGCAAGTGTTGTACAAGGCCTGATTCACTGTTACCATTCAACTGCAATGGTAACATCGTCAAGATGCTAGATATTATTTTGCAGACAGTATGATGATTGCACTGGAAATAGCAGTAGCTGCATGATTCGGTAATTCATTCTTGTATTTTTTAAGGTAAATTATGTTAAACTTTTGCCACTATCCTAGTTTCATATAGAGATAACATAAGGTCCTTATTTTGTAATAATAATGATAATAATTCCTTCACCATAAAGGAGGAAATTCCACACTGAATCAAACCCAAAGCAGTGTCTCCAAATTCAAATCTTTTTGATGTGCACTCACATTCATCTTTTTGCTATCTTCAGCTAGACGTACCAGATAAGATGTTTAATACTGATAGTTATGAAGGTAATTACTTTTTTCTCATGTAAATTTTCTCTCAATTTATGTGACATTAATAATTTTGGCTTCTTGAAATCAAATATAGCTGAAGAGAGATGTAGTATATCTGCTGCTGTCTTTTATTAGCCATACTGTAAGCAGTTACAGCAAGTTTTGGCAGTCAACCATAAGCTATCTAATGTCTCTTCTGTCTTATTTAGATAAGGAATCTCAGGCACTTATCTCGTTTCAGGAAAGGTTATTACTTCTATAGTACTTACGTATCATGTCTCCTGCTTCATTAATCTGTTAATGAATTTTTGTTGCATATGCATACATCAAATACTGTGTTCAGTAAAGATCCTCTGCATGACGAGAAGTGAAAGGGAATCCTCCCCTTCTGGTATTATTCCTTTAATGTTAAGTTTTACTCAATACTCGAAAATAGAATATAAAATGTGAATTTCTGTCTTACATCCCTAGTATAGTGTTTAGTTTCCTAGCTTTGTAATTTTGCTTTTATTTATACCCACATGGCATAGATACATAGTCGTACCATATAGAACCTTATGAGAGTGATTCTCGGTAAAACCAAAGCACTTCCCCTGTTTATCAGTCTCATAAGTCTTCTGACCTCTAGCATTCTTTTTATAATAACTCCTGGGATCTCTGGCATTTTGGACAGAAATGCTGGTATATGAAAATCTGCAGAGCTCATTAAATCCCTCTGTATTTCCATTTATCAGCCTCTACATCAGTGGTTTGTATTGTGACAACTGTTACTTGCTGATATGGGAGTCTGAGGCACAGACTTATTTGGAATCCTTGATGCTGATCCTAAAATGGCTGAAACGATCACTTTGGCACAATACAAAATAATAAACCCTTTGGTTTCACAGTCTTATGAGACCAGCAGAAATGTTTTGTGATTTTTCTACAGTATTTTTTTAATGTGAAGATCTAACAACAGGGGTAGAAAATGCACAAATTGGGTGACCCAGCAGCTGGAAAAGGTTCTTGAATTCTCTTCTTTCAGTCTTCCTGCTTTCATATCATACACCATATTGCAGAGACATGTAACTACAGTAATTGGTTTAAATAGGGAGAAGAAGAAAGGACATAACTATACACAGTTTGTTACAAGCTAAAGGTAGTGTAGGTGTTAGTCATAGTGATCATTCTTTAAATTACCAAACTCTCCTACTGAACATGGTAGATATGATGTAATCTATGCTTTTACACATACCCCTGTTACAGGACTGAGGCTGCAGAAGGCAGCACCTCTTTATGCATGAACTCTTCTAAGTCCACATGGGGATCATCAAGGTCTAGGTGAAGAAACTTTTCCACAACAGACTTGCATTTTTCCATCCGATCTCCTTTTGAGGGATGATCAATACGTTTGATAGCTTTTCCATTGCGAATCAGTTCTGACACTTCCACTCCTCTTTCAATAATTTTGGCTGGCATTCCTGCTAATGCAGCAATGTTGGCAGCATGACTAACAGTGGACGTGCCCTGTTTGATCTGATAGAAAAATATCAACTCATCTCCATCTTGGTGTGTCTCCATGGTCAGGTACTCCAGAAGAGGTGTGTCAGGCAGGAGTTCTAGCTGCATTAAACTGTGAAAATTAGTGGAGACAAAGACCTGTGGACACTGTGTTCCTTGACTGATCCAGTACCTCAGGACAGCAGCCAGAAGGGACAGGCCATCCAGTGTGTTGGTCCCTTTACCAAATTCATCAATAAGTACCAAGGACCTCTCTGTGGCGTTG